GGGCATGCGCCTACTGGCGAGAACACGGGAGTGCGGCGCACTGAGTGAGGAAGTGGCGGCCCTGCAAGCTCTGGTGGCGAATCTGCAGAAGCGGCTCTACAGCGCCAACCAGCATGTAGAGATGCTGCAAAAAAGGAATGATAATCATGTAGAGCTGCTGCATATTCTACAAGCAAGAACAGACAGAGGCAATTAGCAGAAGCCTCAGGTGGCGCAGAATGCAACAATGAACATGTGATTAGGAATTTAATGTACGCATTTTCACCATTGTGTATGTAATCACATGTTATGAAATGAAAAAGCATTCACGCCCAATTTCTGATTGTGCACTAATGAATTGAAAACACTTCCCAAACATGCAATATGCCACAATTATACCAAAAATTAACCACAAAGCCAGAATATTAGCCACAATTACAATGAGTCAATAATAAACACAAATATCAAAGACAATGATCAAATAAGAGATTGAGGTTGAGAAATCATACCCAATTTGAGCAAAAACCACAAACAAATCACAAGCCACAATTCAAAAGAAAAACAAGTTAGAAACAAGAAAAAGTAATAAGAAAAGCAATTAGAGTTAGGAAATCAAAGAGAAAGAACAAGAAAAATCGAAAATTACCTTGGGGGGGTTTGAAAAGGAAGTGAGGAGAGAGAAGAGAGAAAAGAAGAAAAACAGAGGCGGTTTTTAAAAAAAATCGCGACGAGAGACCGGTCGCTTTGAAACAGATTCGAAATAAGGGAAATTACTCGAAGAGGGACCGGTCGCAAGATAAAAGCGACCGGTCGTTTTTAGGCAGAGTCTAAAATTTTTAAAATACCAACGAGCGACCGGTCGCAAGGCAAACGCGACCGGTCGTTTTAAGGCAGAGTCTAAAATTTTTAAAGCGCCCGGTCGTTTTTAGGCAGAGTCTAAAATTTTTAAAATACCAACGAGCGACCGGTCGCAAGGCAAACGCGACCGGTCGTTTTAAGGCAGAGTCTAAAATTTTTATTTGCACGACTCGCGACCGGTCGCAAGACATGTACGACCGGTCGTTCTGGGTTTTTTTTTGTATTTTTGTATTTTTTTTGTTTTTTGTTTTTTGTTTTTTGTTTTTTGTTTTTTGTTTTTTGTTTTTTTTTTGTTTTTTGTTTTTATTAAGGACTCACCTTCCCAACTCAATTTTGCACCATAGCAGGTACATCAATGAAGTGGAGCACTTCATCTTCTTGATGCAAAACATTCTCATGGTAGATTTTCAACCTATGCCCATTAACCTTCGATTCATTTCCCGTGCTAATATGTCGGATATCAACTGCACCATAAGGGTAAACATTAGTAATAACATACGAGCCCGTCCAACGGGATCGAAGCTTACCTGGAAAAAGCTTGAACTTAGAGGTAAAGAATAATACTCTTTGCCCTATTTCAAACGACTTCCTAATGATATGCCTATCATGAAACGCCTTTGTTTTTTCCTTGTAAATTTTTGCGTTCTCATAAGCATCATTGCGAAGCTCGTCCAGTTCGCTCAGTTGTAACCTTCTGATATTTCCTGCTTCCTTCATGTCGAAGTTGTACTTCTTAATTGCCCAAAGGGCCCTGTGTTCAAGCTCGACAGGTAAATGACAAGGTTTACCAAAGATTAAGCGAAATGGAGACATACCGATTGGAGTTTTGTAAGCAGTTCGGTAGGCCCAGA